TATAGTATAGTTTATTATAGTATATTATAGTATTGTATTGTGGTCAGTGGTGTAGTGTGATAATTGTCCAGATACTGCGTTTGACTAACTGTTGCACATTTACAGTTAAATATTTATATACAAAATACAATAATAGTACAGTATGTTAAAGTAGAGTATATGTAGTAGGTTTTAGGATACAGTGTCATACCGTATAGAGACCAATTAGCTTTTTGCTGCTGGGTTACATGTTGTAGTATATGTTTAAGTGTGGGGTAGTAGAGTACTGGATATTGTTGTATATTGGCCTGTATTGTAGTGAGAGCTGCTCAGGGACAACAGCTGAAAAACAGCCTTTTGAGTTAATTGTTGCACATTGACAGAACAGTGCAGGGTTTTAAACAAATAAATGTGGAGTATAGTAGATCAGAGTATTAGGTTAGTATAGTATAGTGGACTGTAGTACAGTATAGATTATAGTTAGTAGTCTATAGAGTGAAATTGTAGGCATCCATGTGCTTTTACTTTCTTAAAATGGGTTTCAGTGCTCAAATGATCAACTGAGCCACAAGGTATAACTCACTGATACCAATTCTGATCATCAGTTTGATAAAGATGCCAAACCCTTGCTAATTACAGGATGACATAATGCTAAGAACTGCTTGCTTTAGTATTTCCGTATGGGGGCAAAGGTTTTTTTGTCTGGCTGCTTTATTGCCACGCTGCCATACATGATGATGATCTTAAGGCATCATTTAGGCCTTGTGGAAACTTGTAATGTTGTAATGTTTTAGCACACAGTAAAGGATTATAATTAGATACAACTTTAACTGATCTGAGTCATTTACACAGTAAAAGTAGGTGTGGCCCCGTATCTGTTTAATTGTGTCCATATAAATTACTGAGCTCATATCAGTTTTGGGTCATAAATTTTATTACTTCGCTGGAATCTCATGATTGATATTTCTTATGATCTAACAAGAGACGTTCCAAATATCCGTCAGCAGCAGCATCCCAGTGTCGTCCCTGGAAAAAATCACTGTTTTTAGATGGAAACCTCTCTAACCCTGTTATTCTATAGGTTAGATTCACTGCACACACAATTTTTCCTCTCTAGTTGCATTTGAGATTAGAAGTAGTTTTTAGATGCGGTATTTAGCGGTATTTAGATTTTAGCTTGTTTTTACCGTCCGTACACGTAGGCTGACACTGTACTTAAGTTTTCAGAAAGGTCAGCGCTTAACTTTCAAAAGAGAAAGTGTCGATCGTGAACCGGAGCTTAAGTGTCATCACAGCCGCCCTGGTGATGAGGAAAACAATGTTTAAATGTTGACACATTTACAACAAAAACAGAACCCTCATCCACTTTCACTTTTGACAATCCCACTGTAGCTGGGTATTTGCTTTACTTCAAACAGCGTGATGCTTCGTTACTCTGTATAATAAATGGCTACTAGTTTAATTTCCTGAGTAAACAGCTCTCAGTAATTACACGCAGGAAGAAATGGCTCATCCTAATGAGGGAAGTGTCATACATTCTTCCATGAGCCACTGTTTAAAGCTGCAACAGCATGTGTGACTTGTGTCATTTCAGCATGTCATTATGGTTTTGGGCGGCTTTTCTTCACCACTATAGAATCACAATTATTTTCAGAGCTATCTGTCCTGGTACACCCAGGAAGCTCAGCACGAGCCACAGGCCACGTCTGGGTTTTTCTTAAGAGGCCTTCGGGACTTTATACCCTCCAGGTCTCCAGTAGGACTCTTGTTGCATGCCAGAGGTGGTTTGTGTTCCTCTGAAAGTGGACACCTTTCAAATAGTGTTACATTTCAAGGCAACGTATGCTAGCTAATCTGGGTCACTTTATCTGTTTGTATTTGCTGCAGGTATTTTGTTGAATAATGATAGCCATAAGGAAGTATTGTTTATCCCGAATGGGCTGCCATGTTCAGCTTGTGCTGGAGCTGGAATGCATCAGTTTAAGTTATATTTATAGTTGCTTTAATTTTATATGTGTGTATATGACACACATATAATAAGTCTATCTCTTGCCTTTTGAAGCATAAGTTGACAATTGATAATTTTAGACGTAGTGCAACTTTAAAATAAAATGCTGGTAGGAAATGAGAAAATAATTGATAATAAATGTCTCATGTTGTTCAGTTTCAAGGTTGATGCTTTGGAAATATACCACAATTAGATCAAAATATTTACAGACATATGCAAACTAATTCTCATTTCTGATACAGGGCCGTTTAGATAATGCAAAAACATCACCTGCTTTTATTCAAATTAGGTGGCATAAACCAAAGCTTCATAAATCAAATGTTTCAAAAGTAAAGTGGCCTAATTGAACTTTTTTAAAAACTATATGAGATTTTTGCTTTATTTTGTAACACATGGAGTACATAACTCCAACAGAGTTATACATGAAAAAAAAGAGCTGAAATGACCAAGAAATTAGTCCATATGTTGTTTGATAATCAGTTAATCCTTTAAGCCATTGCAAAGCAAAAATGTCAAACCTTTACTAGTTCAAGCTTCTCAAATGTAAATATATTTGCTTCATTTCTTTTGGGCCCTTGGATATTGTGAGGAGCATCTATTCATCAATAAAATAACTGATAATGAAAATAATAAGTAGTTGCAGCCCTAGTTTATCTATAACTGATGGTAGAACAGAAATAAATATTAGGGTTCTTCTCCCCGCTGTCCAGGCTCCTTTAAGTGTCTTTATGAAGGCCAACTGCTCCCTCCTTATTAAATAGAACAAGGTAGTTGTCAAACCTTTAATTTACGGTAAAGCAAGATGGTTTACGGTGAATCAGAAATAAGGTCAGAGATGCAGTTCAGTTTCCTTCAAATGCAACTTTGTGAGCTTTTTTAGATAAGTGAAGTCAAGTATGTGAAATATTCTGTGTTCAAAAGATTGTTAGTCGTGGAAAGTATCAAATATTTCCTCTTAATATGGACACTGTGCTGTTTAAAGGCACCATTAGTACAAATTCAATAACAAACTCATTGTTTGACCAGAAGACAATTGAGAAAATCTGGATTCCTTTTAATAGAGTTCCTTTAGACTTTATACTTAAGTACATGAATACAGGAATACAGAGATGGGAACTGGAAGGCGAGTTCCTATATTTCTTGGAAAGGAAGTTACTTTATTGTTAGGTCTCTTG